CCACGAATTACGGTTTGAACTGCTTGACCATCCACCTTACTCACCAGATCTAGCCCCAAGCGACTTCTTTTTGTTCCCTCATCTAAAAATTGCGCTCGGAGGACAGAGATTTTCGTCAAATGAAGAGGCAATCACCTTCGTGAACAATTATTTTGCAGAGAAAAACGCCGAGTACTATTTCGACGGGTTACAGAGATGGGAGCATCGCTGGGAGAAGTGTGTAGATTTACAAGGAGACTATGTTGAAAAATAAAAAACAATTTTCAGAAAAAATGACTTGTATCTTTGTTAGGTCGGAAACTTTTCAGACCACCCTCGTATATAAACGCGTCTCACGCGATTCCATGTAACAAAATATCTTATTTCATTAGCCCGACCTGTCTGCGACAGGTGAAGTTGCCTTCCCCTCTCCCACTTGATTCCAGATCTAGATAAGAGCAAGTTCTTCAAATATACTAACGTCGAATCAGTTAAGTAGCTGATTTCTTAAGCAAAATAATCATACACTACAACTAGGTAATACTCTTAAAAAATATTTCAGTTGAAGACACAATTCCTATTTAGAAATAGGAATATAATTTTATTATTATTTTACGTATATCTAACAGAAAATATTCTTTGCTATAGCGCCAAAGTTCAAATTTATGTATATAAAATAGAATGTCTATATATTTCCCTATATATTCCAAAATCATTGACCAACCTGGACCAAATTTTACATAGTTGATCTTTAGGACCCTGCGGAAAATATAGGTCCAAGCAACGCCGGATAGTTTAAGCCAGTAGCTAATAAATTTAGCTTCGATAGCAACGACATCAGCTGTTCCTATTTCAGTGACATATCTTAGCTGCCACAACTATATTTTAGGGATTAATCTTTTTCCTGCGTGCAAAAAGACAATAATTCTCCGCGTGAATCGAGTCGTGCGTTTCGCGGACTCATCAATGGTCGTTACTCGGTACGATAATAAAACCGGCTCGTGAATCTTCTTTCGTGGATTCACGTGACGATTAATCCCGAACGCATGTGCAGGTGAATCAAGTGCGAATGTACGACGCCACGGCTACGCTTTATGTTTGCTCATGTTCCGATAACGAACTCGTGAGTAAGCGGCGATAAGGAAGCGACGGGAGGCTCGACTCACGTGTCAATCACTAGCTAATCACGCGAGCTGCCAATGGGAGCAACCAACGAGACAAGAATTTCCATTCCTGTCAGCTTTACTCTCTTCAATTCAAATTGAAGAATATCCACGGGTATTCTCGTCGTCTGTTACAAAACACGAAAGGCAACTTATTTTTCCTTTTGAATTTTATGTATATTCACATTTGCGTTTTTATGCAAAAGAGCCCGCATTCGCGTCGCGGTATTCTCGATACATAAAATGAAAATAAGATTACATAGCGGCGCAATTGTTGCAGATTTGAAGACCGATTCGGCGGCATAGATTTCTTTATTATTCGTTCGCATTTTTTCTACATATTTTACTATTATCGTGCATTTACTATATATGTGCATCGCATGATCGCTGATCTATTCGCGTTGAGACTCTTCTATGATGATGGTCACAATGCCGATCGTGCATATCGCAAGCGATATACGCTGGTGGCGAACGCTGTGTACGCTGTCTTATTTGAATTGTCGCTACGCGACAATTCGCCCGCTAATCATGGCGCTGCGCTTAATTGCCGGTACGTGCCGCGTGATCTTCTCGCGAACACGTTCCGTGCGAACGAGATATTCGAGAGGAGCGGTTCGTTTTTTCTCTCGATTGCCTTCCAACGCGCAGTCTGTCGGAGATTACTCGATTCAATTTGTGATTCATCGGCAGGTTCCGGTGGAGCATAATTAAGTCAAGACGTCGGTTGATTTAGCGCTCGAGTCTCGTAGACATTTAATTTGCGTGGCACTCGCTTCTTCCCACATGCGAGAGACGAATTAAGATAAGTACAGGTGTACGTTTACATGCGTTGCGTCGCGTCGCGAATATAACGACACAATTCGCAATTAACAAACAGACTCGCGATTAAGCGACAGACGCCCAATACTCGATAAAAGATTAAGTCACGAACATGCTGAATGCACATGCGATCGTTGCGAAAGTTTTCAGAACAGATTGCACGTGCTCATTGTATCTTTATCATTTTACGATCGCATTTACGGCGACAGGTGTGTACGACAAGCGATTAATGGCGCAGAATGGTACCTACAGTCATTTCATCGTCAAGAACAAGTCTTCGTTAATTCTCGGTATACCCATCAGAGTCCATGGAATCTGATTTCAGGAGGGCTAAAAATATTTACTTTCCTAAATTAAAAGCCTAATTAATTTTTCTGTCTGTCATTCCTTAAGTTGATTTAACGCGTCACGTTGTGTCTAGTGCGTCTTTGCTTTCTTAAAATGAATCAGTGAAAATATGTCTGACTGAATCAGCCAAAGAAATTATTTCATCGATATTCAGTGAGTATTCGCTGATTTTCAGTGGAAACACTTACTACTCTGTCTTATTTCTCGCTGATTTTCATCAGTGGAAGTTTTATTGCAAAGTCTGTAATACACAAATTTATACGTGACTTTCTACGTTCGTGGTACGACGTAATTAATGGCTTTCGTGCAATTTGATGACACTGTCTACGTTTGTAAAATATATAAATAACGATAATGTTTGCTGATCCCTTTAGCGAGATTTTACTGATTGCAGTGCTATACTTTTAACTGAACTATCACTTATAAGTATAGCGTCATTTCAGTGAAGAACATACTGACTGTACTTTGAAGAATGTTTCATCGTAATAAGCTCGATCGATTCAATATAAATAATCGCGCGTCAACGTGATAATTACCGAACAGTGCGTGAAATCTACGGTTCAAGGTGAAGCTTTGTTTTGCGATAAGATGACACGATAGATAATCTTCCCGAAAAAAAAACGGTAACAGCGGCACGCTGGATATCCAATTTGCAGATGCGATTCTTCACAGAAGAAAACGCGCTCTCTAATTTCTTACTCCATCATTATCATGTCGAATCGCGTATTCGAGGGCGGTCCTCGTGAAAGCATTCGTGAGAACAAGAAAAGCTGACGGAAAATATGGTACAACTCAAGAAGGACACGCTCGCGATAGATAATCCGTTGATGGACTATCTATTACGTCCACTCATCGTTCCGTCGAGTGCCACGCTAAATATTTCATGAATCGTAACGGTGCTCGTTACCTTGATTGCTCCATGCTGTATTCTTGTTTCGTTTAGTGAGCGATTCTACGAAAAGGCGCACAATTATTTGTTATATATGCGGAGAGATTACGGCTCTCGCAGGAAATGATCGATACTATCGACGATCCTGCAGGATTAAATCGTCGCAGTCGCTTGGCGGTGACAAGAGCGCTCAGGATGATACTCTTGTTCGCGCTGTGCACGATCGCATTGTCACTGGGCGAACACGCGACCGCGTCGTCTCGTGTAGACGACGTTATCGTGAGATTTATCGTCAACGCGACGCCCGTTTTGTTCTCACCTTCGAGAGTCTCTCTGCAACTGTGCATTAACGATGGCAAGATTTTTCGTGCTTTACGTGTTGTATCGTTGTACGCGCGCGCAAAATAGAGAGCTGAACGGAATTTTCAGCGACGACCAATGGCAAACAATCGTTATGATATGATGAGGAAAAATGACGAATTATCTTGTAGTTGCAAATGCAAGATATTGAACTTTGTTCATAGATTACGCGGGGAATTTTCAAATTTTGTTGTCCAATGCAATAAAATCTTAATTTTGATCCATGTATTAAGCACGAAGCTTTCAAATTCATATCGTGGCAATAACAGCTCCGTGTTGTTTCATTAATAATCGAAGGATTTAACCTCCCTTCAGATGACGCGGTTCAGTTATCGAGAAAATTATCGAGATATCGCCTGGTTCACGGCATCCGTAACTTATACGAGAAATTCGATCGACGAGTTTACGACAATTTGGAACATCGGAATTTATACGTGCTAGATCTGGACTGCGATTACGCGATCGAGGTTTTACGACAGGTACCGAGTTTTCTCGTAGACGATCCACGGGCATGCATTAGACGCGATATAGATAATCCAATAAATCCGAAACGATGCTCTTACATCTTCCCGTATTAATGCTCCGCTTATCCGAAAATACGTATTCCAAGGCGCATTCCAAGAAGATGTTCGTCGCTCCAGCTAAGTGGATGTTGCTGCAAGATCGAAGGACTACGATCGACGCCGACGATAATCAAACCATTTCAACCTACGACGACTCCGTGTTGGAGATATTCGAAAGTTTGGCGGTATATCCCGACAGCGACGTGATTCTCGCGCGGAGACTCGACGGCGACTTTCTCGAACTCACGTCTGTATACCGGCCGAGTCCGCAGCGAGGTGTGATATGGGAAAATCGTGGGAACTGGACGATCGAGAACGGACTACTAATGAGGACTTTCGATGTAGCTTCGGTTCGAAGACGGAATCTACATCAAACGGAGCTTAAATCTTGTCTCGTGGTACCTTCAACGCATATTCGTGTTGTTCACTCGTGAGATTCGGAATGCGCTCTCGATAAGACGTCGATTTTGCTTTTTAAATTGACATTGCACACGAATCAGTTCTACTCCGAGACTATTCGCAATTGCAGATCACCGATCCTGACACGATCGATCATCTGACCGACTTTGAGAAGAAGACTGTGGATCCTGTCACGAAAGCCACCTACCCTTGGATATTACATTTGGCAAATCGGATGAATGCGACGTAAGTTTATTTTGCGGTCATTGCGCTCGTCACCCAGATAAATCAATGTCGTTGGAGCATCGATGAAGTACGCGGCAATATCCGATATTCCAGTAAATTATCTTTCGAAAATCTCTCAATCGAGAAAGCAAGTTACGCAGCAATGCAACAAGCTTATCTCAACGAGGACGTGACGATGTAAATTGTCTGACCGAGAAACGGGGCGTGATTTTTAAATTAGAAACACACGTGTTTTTTGACATGCTGACATGTTGACAGCTCAGTTTGTTGCATAAATCTTTTAATGTACGATCGCGACTCATGGGATAAATTGAACTGCTGATCAGCATGCACGTAAGAAGATATGAAATTGTACATCATGTGATTCTAACTTTAGACTCATGAATGAAGACCGAAACATTCAATTAAATGAACGCATACCGCACCCATGAGTGTCGCGTAATTCCCAGACACGCGCGACAATATCTAATCAATTTTTCACACAATACGAGTTTTCTCAAATTCGTGAGCACAACGAAAAATATCACGATACAATCTATCAATTGTTCTCTCTCTCTCTTTCACGATGATATCGAGAGAAATTCATATCAGCGAGGATTCGAATAATCTTAATTTATTGATATCGCCAAGTTGACGTACAGTCATGAGCAAAAAGATTGACAAATATATTTTGTGTAAGTTTGAAAATGTATTCAGTTTATCCAATGAGAGAATTCTTCTATTAGAAAACTAATTCTTTCATTGTGGACGAACGGAATACACATTCCGAAAGTTACATAAAGTTACATAAAGTATACTCGTCAATCTCACCGTCCACGAGTGCACTTGAAACTTTTATCTCACACTCGACAGGGTAAGTTTCAACATTACGGACAGTTGGGGATATCGCGGAGAGAATGGCTCTTGGAGTGGAATGATCGGGATGTTGGAACGACGCGAGATCGATATCGGCGGCACCACCACGTTCTTCATTCCACAACGCATCGGCGTTGTACAATACATCCAGTTGTACACACGTACCAAGTAAAATAAGCAAATAGCTATTTCTACACGGAAAGAATATTATAGTTTTTTTTTTATTCATACAAATTCTTTTCAATCTTACCATATTTTCAGTAGCCCAGAAACAGACTATTAATAAGCTCTAGAGAACATAGTAAATTTCGCTAGGAACATGATAAGTGTTTTAATAGCACATTTCAACTCCTAAAATTTAAGTATAAAGTATAAATATATAAAATAGTGAATTACTGCAGAATGTCGATTCTTTGATTACAAAATCTTCTAGTAATTTTAACTAGAAAATTCTCTCCATATGTATTGACAAAAAATTCATTTGTGGGATATAACATTTATTCACAGAAATCAATTTTATTTAATATAAACAAACTTTATATCCCACAAATAAATCTTCAAGTATTTTTTTCTCAATGTATAGTTACTTTCAGCATCTCTCATATTAAAGACAAAAGCAGGAACGAAGTAATTTCATTAAAAACTGTCGTTTTTAATCGTTTGTTCGATTATCTTGTTGTATTGATATCTTTCTTGTTGTATAGTTAATGGACAAGCACGTTATACGTGGAAAAAATTTGCGCAGGTCGGCTTTCGTGTTTCGACGGCCGTTGCTGTCAACTGTGAAAAATATATTTGCTTTACCTTTCCAACAAAACGTATGGATAGCGATCGCCGTGTTCCTCTTCTTGGTCTTTTGTTTGCTGTACCTATCGATGAAATGGGAGCATTTCCGAGGCGCTTCGCAAAAATCGGCGAAATACTGGAGCCAATTCAATTCTGGCAAGCCGACGATCGGCGATAATTTTCTCGTTCTTCTGGGCGCGTTTGCTCAACAAGGTAGGTGAATCTATAAGGTGAATTTTTAATAATTCTCTAGAAGAACTCGTCGACTAGAAGAGTTAAGCAGAAAAAGTCAAATCAATTCTCGAACTTGTAAATTGAAATATTTGCGAGCACGCAAATTACTTTCGGATGTCTTGATGATAAACTAAAAGAATATCTGTGCATCCGCAGGATATGCTTACGAGCCGTACAAGGTCTCCACTCGGATCGTTACTTTTATGCTACTGGTGGCATCTCTTAGCCTCTATGCAGCTTACACAGCAAATATCGTGGGTCTACTGCAGTCTACAACGGATTCCATTCAAACTATCCCGGATCTCCTGCACAGTCCTTTGAAGATGGCTGCGCAGGACGTCGTGTACAATCGTTACTACTTTAAGGTTGGTAAATCGCACACGCGCGCAACTTTCACGTAATACGATAATTGAGTTTATAAGCAACGCGTGAAAGAATTGCGGAAAATAAACGCACGTTGAAATCGTAGGCTTTTCAAGATCCCGTCAGGAAGGCGATTTTGGAGCAGAGGATTGAGCCAAAAGGACGCAAGCCCAACTGGATGACTATGGAAGAAGGCGTACGTCGCATAAGAAACGAGCTATTCGCATTCCATGGCGAGACCGGTGCCGTGTACCAACTCATGCAAGACACATACTTGGAGGAGGAGAAATGCGGCATCACTCAGATCGATTACTTGAACGTTCTCGACCCGTTGCTTGCGATACAAATGCAATCGCCTTACTTGGAGATAATCAAGAATGGGTAAACGACTCAGCTGAATTTATTTCGGTGAATTAATGCGAAAACCCGCAATCGCGCGAGCCGAGAGAATATTAGAGACGCGATTTCGTAAACAAACGTACGGATTTCGCTAACGCGTGAGTACTCGGTCACACGCTACAATTATTTATTGTCGCGAACATTTAACGTTGGCACGCTTTCAGAGCGTTGAAACTGCGAGAATATGGACTCAAGCAACGCGAAGAGTATCGCTTGTACACGGAGAAGCCGGTGTGCACGAGTGAGACGAGTTTCATCACCATCGGCTTTACAGAATGTTACTTTGCGCTGGTCATAATGGGTTACGGGATACTGCTCGCCGTGGTCATCTTTGCGCTCGAGCTGCTGTGGCACAAGAAGTAAGGATCCGAGGGTGACGGAAACTTGGCGAGTACATGGACTTTGTGCCGTATCTCGCGCTATTACACCGCGTTTTCTTTTGAAGGAAAAACATGCGCAAAACGCCGAAAGAAACGGTCGCGGAAACGACGGACGCGGAAACAACGGACGCAGAAACACCGAGCGCAGAAGCCATCGAGTACCTCGACTAAGTGTCCTGCGGAAACGTAAAATCTGCACAAAAAAAAGAGAAAAAACCCACTAGAAGCACCCGACCTATCGAGCTTATTCGCCGCGAAGCAAAAGACGCGAACGAAACAAACTTTATTATCCCACTGAGCGCAGTTTCCGCATTTTCGTGACAAGGACGAGAGTCGACCGCGAATTTAATGTAGTGCTTTAACGTAGTGCAAAACAATCGTTACTGGAAAGTACATTATATATTGTTCTTTTGAAACACGCAAATATTTGTAAGTAGGCGATCTCGATAAGACTATTGTCGTTTTCAATGTGGCTTCGTTTTTGACGAAGTCTGCTGCAATGAAAATAAATTGCGGACAAAACGCAACAAAGAAACGTTTCCTTCGAAGAGTGTAATACTGTGTATACGCGCACTTGGCTTTGACAAAAAGTCACACAACGTATATAGAATCGTACGGTGAATAAACCTTAAGCTAAAGCGAAGTATCAGCATGGGGCGCGCTGGTTAGACACGCGCTGGTAAGAAATGCTCGTAATAGTTTTTTGTGAAGTCCGTCATGAGATCCACCGTGCACTCGGGCAGCTCCTCGACGCACGTCGCCGGGCTGCCGGCGAAACGAGTGAAAGACGGCACGATAGTCTCCGGTGGCACGACCGCGCCGTCCTCGATGTAGCAACAGTCTTTGAGAACAGACCGCCTACCCTGTAGCGTGACAATTTCATGAGCAACCAAACCCTCGTGCTCGCGTCGAATCTGAGGTCATTGTTTACGTACGATTATGGCGTTCTTCCCTATGTAAACGTAAGAGCCGACCAGCGCGGCGTTCACCACCGCCCGCTCCCCCACGAACACGTGATTGCCCATCGAAAGAGGAAAGAAGGCCACCCTGATCAACAATTTTGTGTTGCATCATAACAAGACAAGATGCGCGCTTAGAGTTAATGCTTAGAGATACAAGAGATTCGGTTGAACTAACCAAATATTTGATGAAATATGAACCAAAACTTGCAAGTGTTCAAGTTAAACCAGGGATCTTATTCGGTTAATCAGAAAACATGTTAACGAATTCTCATGGTTCGATCATATATTTCACCAGATATTTCGTTCATCCAATCAAATTTATTTTTGTGATTTGGAGGTCGCTCCGCTTGTTACGCTGCGAGCAATTATATAACTTTTAGCACATTGGTCGGCGCGGTGACGCACCTCGAAATATTGGTCCAATAAACAGAGATGTTGCGAACAGAGATAGTGCAATTAATTAAATTCGACTCACCCTCTGCTGAACTTCTTGAAAGGTGGCCGAATGACCGCGTTCTTGCTGATGATACAATAGCGACCGGTCCTGACATTCGCCAGGTCGCCTCTGATAATAGCGTCGGATTGCACTATCACTTTACCGTGCAGTACAATGTTCTGAGAGCCGCACAAGACTGTCAATCTGCTCACCTTGTTCCCTGAGGCCTGAAATGTCACAAGTGAGAGATCAGGTTCTTTCCTTTTTTTTAATACTCTTTACGACTAAATCGCTGTGCTTTTAGTCTCCCCTCTGGAATAATATGGTTTTATGGCATATTGTTTCTACTTTTTAACTCTCGATTTTTACTAATTAACTTGTCCTAAATCCTAAATTTGTTCAACTATATTTTTCACTCATATGTGCTCGCTTATATACTTAAAAAAATTATGAATAATTCTCATAGAATCTCCCAGTCCCTTTTTCTTATTTCTCTGTTCTTAAAGTGAGGTTAGGTTAGGTTGAGTTCGGTTTGATTATGTTATATATCAGACACGTTCCGGACGCGTTCGTGGGTATAAATTGTAATGACTGCAATTCATCAATTCGCTATTGTCAGCCCCCGTTTGGACAATATTTTGCGTGTCCCTTTCAACTATTTGGATAATCAACAAATGTCTCGTCGATGTCGTTACTACTGATACGGCACTCGCAACTTTAGCTATCTATTACCGTCTCAACGTATTCTGCTTTGTTATAATAAATGTCCTGTGGCTCCATTCTCGTACAATCTTTGTGCAATAATATCGTTATATGTTTAAATTATCGTAAACAAACAGCACTTAGATCGAACGTCACTCGCGAGCGGCCATCTGTCACGCAGCTTCGATCAGCTGATGCAGCGGGTGCCAGCGAACACGCATCATGCTGCCATCTGTCGGCAGATTCATGTATCAACATGCGCGGCGCGGCAAAGATAATTGTGTGCGCAACACTCGACAGATGATAAGTCTTTCGATATATAAATACTTGATAAAATAAAAAAACATTTTTGTACTTTATAAAGAAGAAAAGTAAACTAAATAATAGTCTTTCTATTATAATATGTGGAACCAACGATACAATTTATATAACTTTTACAGTTTATCGCTAGCAAATATTAAGTTCTCGAATGCTATTAATCTTTTTCACAATCGTTTCGAGTATGTGCAAGATTTGCATGACGCAATTATTGTGCCAGAATACGCGCAAACGATTACAACAGCGATAAGAAAATGTCCAAGTCTTGTGTCTCAGGCGTGATCGATTTTTTGGCCACAGTTATACAAGAATGATTCACACTTATAAAATTACGATTCTTGAGTTTTTGTTACCAATGGACAGTCTTTACATCCTTCTACATAAGACAAGAAAAACCCAAATCTTGTGGGCGTCTGACTAATTAAAAAAATAGTTTTTATTTTCTACTAATTGCGTCACACACACACACATACACACACACACACACACACACACACACATACACACATTTTCTGTTAATTGCGTCCATTTATTTTCAGAGTTAAGCTTGTCAATGAATATCGTTAAAGAGAAGAAAATTGACTATGCTTGACTTCTTGAACAATTGCGACGAACCTCAGTGTTATCTCTGTTTTTTAAATTATATATCAAATTTTCATCTTCATTTTTTTCGAAAAATACTTCATGTGGGCTGTATTATTCTTGCATAACTATGGCCAATTAATCTATAAGGTTGTTAATTGGTTTCGTCGATCAAATCCTCTTTTTCCAGCCGAGGTTTTGAGACTGATCCAAAGATTACTTGCATAAAGTATTGTTTCATAAAGTCCGACATACCAAAGGACATAAAATCTTAATTAACGTAAAAAAGATCAAAGGCGGTATATAATGACGCGGCGGATGCAAATGAGATCGACACGGAAGTCCCAAAGTCAATTATGCCGGTTAACATCGTCGAGTATCTTTATGATTTTACGATTGTACGTTGTACGTATGTAGCACAGATGATTAAGGATAAGGCAATATTTGTCGTGACATTATGGAGATCCAACGCTTCTTGGCCTTTGCGTTTACGATGTGAATGATACAAAAATTACTTGTATAGTACATATTAGAAAAACGTCACCGGCGCAAACATTTGCAAATAAGATAAAGCACATAATCTCCCGATGCGAAAGATCCTATTCATACGTGGAATTTGTCTGCAAGTGTAAACGACGGAGTACGCAAATATTTCACAGCTGCGGTCTTTCGCACGCGAAAGGAACCCAATTTGTTTCAAGTCCTCGAGATCCCTCGCATCATTATTACCGTCCGAAACTGCGGCGTATTCGGGAAAGTATCGCGGTACCGAGAGGAATAACCATGAGAACACGAAAAGCTGACGTGGAATTCTAGAAAAAAAAAAAAAAAAACAACTGGGTGGTGTGTTCGTTCGCAAAGACGATGAGGCGAACGAACAGTCTGTCGACAAGGCGACGTCGTCACAACGCAACGTTCTTCGCGAGCTTTGGATTATTTATGCGCGACGATAACGCTCATTTGGCTCGATTGGCCGTTATTGCATCCTTGCGCCGCTCTGCAAACTCGCGAACGCCTCTATTAAGGGCGGAACCCGGTAATGCATCATACTGTGCAAAGAGAGGAATGATAGTACGTGCACGTATAATCGATACTATCGACAATCCCGGTGTAGAGACTCCGCCTCAGTCGCTCGACGGATACAAAAGCGCTCAGAATGCTCCTTCTCGTGCTGTGCATCCTCGCGATGCCGTGCGAAAATCACTCGACCCGGTCTTCGTGCCGTGTCGACGATGTTATACTTGAATTTATCGTTAACGCAACACCTGTCCTGTTCCCGCCTTCGAGGATATCCCTGTACCTGTGTATCGATTACGGCAAGATTTTTCAAACCCGTGATTTATGCCAACCTAGCAAAATTGCAAACTATAAAGGCGACATTTCTTTAAAAATCGTACATCAAAATACAGACAAATTATATCGTCGGGAAATATCGCTCTTTATAGAGTAGTTTAATCAATTGTGGGAATTATTTATACTATTTTGAGTTGTGATCTTTGGTTGTGACACCATGTATTATTAATAGCATAACATTTGTATAGAAGAAAGAAAGGTTCAACTTTGTTCGTTTCTTTTCCTCAGATGACACGATCGAATTATCGAGGAAGATGTCGAACAATCGCCTGACTCACGGCATTCACAACTCCTTCGAGAAATTCGACCGGAGGATTCACAACAATCTGGAACATCGGAACCTGTATGCTCTGGACCTGCACTGTGACTACGCCATCAAGATGTTGCAACAGGTATCGAGTGTTTTCACACGCTATTCATTGTTATACGTGATGTCATAAATCCACTTGGTCACGACTATTTAAACGATATGTAAGGAGAGTCGTTCTCCTTTCCCTCGACGCTAATTAATCCAATCGCTAATTGCGTTTGTGTCATCGTGACGCCGCAGGCGCATTCGGAAAGGATGTTCGTTGCCCCGGCCAAGTGGATGCTTCTACAAGATCGAAGGATTGACGACACTAATCTAACTTCCACGTACGGTATTTTGGTATCGGACGTCTTCGAGGATTTGGCCGTCTATCCTGACAGCGATGTGGTCCTCGCTCAAAGGCTCAACGATAATTTTATCGAGCTGACGTCCGTGTATCGACCGAGTTCTCAGCGAGGCGTGATATTAGAAAATCGTGGCAATTGGTCGCTCGAAAATGGACTACAGATGAGGACCCACGACGTAGCCTCGGCACGCAGACGGAATCTTGGACAGACGGAGCTAAAATCTAGTATTGTGGTATCTCAGACATGCATTCGTTCGCGATGAATCATAACGCGTTCTTTCCATAAACAAAACATTTTGAGACATATCGGTTGATATTATTGTTCTAATATTGTCATTATTTCATCGTAGTAAAATATGTAAAGTGAAACAGCTAACAAATAAATCTACCCAAAAGTTACATTCCGATTTCTTTCTAATTTGGTATAAATGTAGAAATACAAAAAACATTTAGGTCATATTTTTTCATTTTTGCCCACTTTGAATTTCACGAGCACTTTATAGCTTTTTAATATTCTCACTCCTATCGTCAATAAGTACAACAAAAATTCATAAGAAATAAAATTAAATACAAGATATAGGCGTTTTTGCTGATTATGAATATAAAGTCAAATGTGTAAACTTATTTATATAAATAATAAAATATTTAAACAAAACATGTAAAAAATTGAAAAAAATTATTTATACAAATAATTTTTCGGTTTGGCCGAGATTCAAATCATTTTTGACTAATTTAGTACAGATTTGAAATATTTCGGTTGGAATTTTGGCTAAAGAAATTTAGAATGGTTTGTCTCAGTTACGCCGCTTTTGTTAAAATTATTTCACTATATCTTGTATTCAATTACTTCCTATGCATTTTTGTTGTACTTGTTGATGATAGGAGTGAAAACATTAAAAAGCTATAAACTGCACGTAAAACTCAAAATGAGCCAAAATGAAAAAATATGACTTAAATATTTTTTGTATTTTTACATTTTTGCCAAATTAGAGAGAAATCGGAGTGTACTTTTTGGATAGATTTATATGTAAGCCGGATAGTTCCGAACGTTGCGAATGACACACGCAATCGTGAACAAAACAACAATGATAATACGAACAAATGAAATCTGGATTTTGCGCAGGTGAAAAGACGTAGGATTTTTTGTCACTTGCAGCTTACGAATCCGGACACAATAAATCATCTAACCGATTACGAAAACAAGCACATAGATTCCATCACAAGGATTAATTATATTTGGATACTTCACTTGGCTAATCGGATGAACGCAACGTGAGTAATCAACAAGAGATCGTGGCGATTGCGTCGATCCTGTCAATCGCGTTGCGAATCTCTCAATCGTGAACGCGAGCGAATATTCAAAGCGACGTAATAAATCTGTAACTCAATCTCAAGGTTAATTAATGAGGTCATGAGCGATCGGAGCAATTATAGTGCACGAATATCGAAAACGATCGTAAATCGCGCTCGATTGACCAACGGTAGAATTAGGATTATGGAGTCGAGTCGATCGTCTAATTAAATAGAAGCATGCGCCGCACATTCGTTGACGAAAATTACGCAGTCAATTGCTTACGATTCAACAGTGTCGAGCTCTCGATTACGAAGAGAAGCGTAACTTTTCAAATATTTCCTCGTTCAACGCATATAAAAATATTGTTGCATTAAAAAAAAATAAAAAAAGAGAGGAAAAGAGAAATAATGTTACTTGCAACTCGCGAACACTAGAGATCCTTGTTAATTTCTTCAGAAACAAATTTTTCAGAATCGGCAAGAAGCGATTTTATTTGAAAATTATATAGGTATGGCACCCAATATAAATATAGTACACAATTGTATTGCAAGATTTCTTTTCCTCTTACTCTGTCAAAATTATATGTATGTCGAAAGTCGTGGAAAATAGACACGCTGAAATTATGTTCTTTTATTTTTACGCGACAGGATGAGCTTCAACATCACAAATACCTGGGGATATCTAGACGAGAACGGATCTTGGAGCGGGATGATGGGAATGCTGCAACGACGCGAGATCGACATCGGCACTAGCATGTACTTTCTGACGAGTCGCCTAAACGTGGCGGAATATATCCAATTGTACACACGTACCGGGTAAAATTGCGTCTTCGAATTTGCGAATACAAATACGATAAGACACGTGTTAAACTAGCCGTTGTTAGGTTGAATTAAGGCGGTATGCTGGTCGTACAAAGTGCAATGCTACACGATATCACGTGCAAAGTATGTGAGATTTCTTATCGATGTGTCTTGATGATACAGACTTTGTAGCGCCCTCTTGTCGTTATAACGGCACACCCTCCGTCTAATAAAGAACAGACTTATTTATATCTTTTAAGACGGCGAATTGACAATCGCAGAGGTGTAGATAGTTGGAAAACAAAGAATTATGGAAATAAGAAAATTTACACGCGACATCTATTATCCTGGTCCTTACTCTTAAACGTGTTGTTGGAATTACCATTCTTTCACGTTCCTCAACGATAATCACACGGCTGTTACATAACTTCCTCCCCGGAAATTTTCAAAATAACATAACATAATTTTCGTAGGCAGATCATACACACACACACACACACACACACACACACACACACACACACACACACACACACACATGTATCGCAAATAAATATGAATATCATTTTTATGAGTGAAAATATCGGATTACCGTCCCCCTATCCTTCCTCTCTTCTCCTTCATATGCTATTTCTCGCTCGTTCCCATTAATACATAAATAACTTTATTTTTTAATACTCTTCAACTTTTCGTTGCACATTGTAACAAATGCGCAATCGCACAGATGAAATTCTTCGAAATGGACTTATTAAAAAAACAAATGTAACTATTCAATTGTTGTATATAATCGGTAACTATATTAGTTTTCACGAGTTATCAAGCAAAGGTAGCAAAGGTAGCAAAAATAGAAGGGGAATTTGTACCGACTCAACTCTCAAAGAATAAGCGCGGAAAAGAAGGAACGAGCGCCAAACTTCAAGTACGTTTGCGTTGCCAATAAACGATCAATGATCTATGAAGCAGAGCTGCATGTCGATAAAACAGAAACATTGTACTAGCTCCACGTAGAAAACGGTGCAACTATAAAGCGTAACTGCGTATGCAAACAGATCCAAAGTTACTGCAAAGACGACGGGAATTGTTGATTTGCGCCACAGTGTGTCGCTCGTAATAAAAATAAATCTAAGAGATTAATTATCTTTTTTCATAATTAACAACACGCGAGGCTAACACGTAATTCCAAGTTTGTCATGGAAATTTTTCTGACCTCTGGCATCGTCGACACTTGCAGCAACGCTGATTAGCATACCGCCTTCAAATCAAACTGCAACACCGCGATAAATATCGCACACTGTAATTTTGCAGTTTGCATAAAACATTCGAGTGTAGGATACGATTTACCACTATCTAATAATACCGTGTCGCGTCGTATCACTGTTTCTCATTATTACCGATCAACATCTGACTCGATATGTAAAAAAATCTTGCGCAGCACTTGCTTCGTATTCCGACGACCCTTGCTGTCGACCGTGAAAAATATATTCGCCTTGCCCTTCGAGCGAAACGTCTGGATAGCGATCGCAGTGTTCATACTGTTGGTCGTTTGCTTGCTGTATCTATCTACGATATGGGAATATAATCGAGATTCTTCAAGAAAATCGGCGAGCTACTACGGCCAATACAATTCCAAGCCGACAATCGACGATAGTCTTCTCGTTATTCTAGGCGCATTCGCGCAACAAGGTACGCCAGTTAATCGGCAGAGATCGTATTTGATGAATGTAATTTCATTGAACCTAATTCGGAGAACGATACACGACGAAATGTCAAATAAAAATTTCAACTTAAATCAAGCCGAGATTCTTGTACTCATACAAAGTACAATTTCACACAGTTTCGTAATATAAAGTATCTTTACTGTCACAGCGATAAGCTCAAAGGATATCTGTACGTTTATAGGATACTCGTACGAGCCGTATCGAGTCGTAACTCGAGTCACCATTCTCATGCTACTGTTAGCTTCTCTCAGTCTTTACGCGGCTTATACGGCGAATATCGTGGGTCTCCTGCAATCCACCACAGATTCCATCAAGACTCCCAAGGATCTCTTACATAGCCCATTAAGTCTGGGCGTGCAAGACACCGTGTACAATCGACATTACTTCAAGGTCGGTTGCAGATCAGAACCGCGGGAATTAATTGTTTTTTTTTCCGTTTTCACACTCATGCTGATGCGTCGGAATAATCGCAAGAAGTACATATAATTATTTTTCTGTCGGAACATAGTCCTTTCAAGATCCCGTGAGGAAGGCGATTATGCAGAAGAAAATCGAGCCGAAGGGCCGCAAGCACGAATGGATGAATTTGGAAGAGGGAGTGCGTCGCATCAGGACCGAACCTTTTGCGTTTCACGGTGTAAGAGGCCCGATATATCATTTAATGCAAGAGACGTATCGCGAGGAGGAGAAGTGCGGCATTACCGAGATCGATTATCTCAACTTGATAATGCCGCTTCTTGTGATACAAAAACAATCCCCTTATTTGGAGATAATAAAAAACGGGTGAGTTTACGCCTCGACGCGTTGGTTACATCTCAAGTTTGTCTGCGAGTTGCGCGTCGCGAATCAAGAATGTCGGGGTAATTGATGGTGCGTGTATCGACTGTTTCCTCAGGGCTTTGAAGCTGCGAGAATACGGGCTCAAGCAACGCGACGAGTATCGTCTATACACGGAAAAGCCCAAGTGCTCGAGCAAGACCAGCTTCATCACCATCGGTTTCACGGAATGCTACTTCGCGCTAGTCGCGATGGGTTACGGATTGCTTCTCAGCATAATCGTGTTTGCACTCGAGCTGTTGTGGCATAGGAAGTAAGATTTAAAAGAATGAGAGAATTATCTTTGCCCGCGCTATCATTCCACGATCCCTCTTATTTGCAGGCAAAGATACGGTGCAGGCAAGGATACGGTGAAAGAAACGATCCCTACGGAGGAGAAAACGGATCCACCTATCGTATATCGTATTACTGAATAGGCTGCCACGCGAGTGTACAAAGTGATTCAGAAAATGTCAGATTTCCTGAATTTACTGCCACACGATAACCAAAGGAAACGAAAGAATCACGAGTTTGCCACTCACGGATTCGCAATTTCGGCGAAAGTCAATAGTCAATATTAGTTCAGTGAATACAATATAGTGTGATTAGTATAGAGGAAGAGGGAAAATATATGCACAAAAATCTATTTATTCGCAGGAAAGTCGATATCCTTTCCAAAGTGAGCAATGAAAATTGTGATATCTTATGTGATATGATTAATAAAAATTACACATGTAATCTCGTTTCAAATAAAAATCATTGTATGATTTAATTAGTTATTTCTCATTCCTCTCAATATCTGAAATTAATCGCGCGTTATGCATTATCCTGTTAAAGTTTCTTTATTTAGTAACTTTACGATTGTAATTCCTAATACTTTCGTTCCAAATAATTCTTGATTATTTTCCGTACCGAACAGCGTGTAGGAATCTGTTATTCCGGCCGTTGTGAAATCAGTGTATTGCCATCTGCTGACGAAGTTGTGAAAACATTTGCCGCGAGGCTGTCAAAGTAGCTCAAGCAAGTAAGCGCAAATTTAGTGTTCATTCCGATATTAAATTAGAAAGAAAAAGAAAATTGTCGCGCATTGTGCAACAGAAGTTGAAATGTCAATGATACGGCATATATTAATGTATAAAAAAATAGATCTATTTCTAGTCAGGGAAACAAAAGGATAAAACTCATAAAATCGATGCTTTGAGCAATCTTCTTCTCCAAAGTCTTTTGTAGTGATATATGACTAAAAGAGACGATAAGCTTACAGAACAGAAACTAAAATCACGCGTTTTCGAGGCTTTGACCTTTTGATATATATCGCAGCGCGATAATACAACACGCAATATATAGAGACGCGCAGCAGTCGAACAAACTTTTCTCGACGCCTCTTTGATGCGATAATGCGGCGGCGGTACGACGAGCGCGCCACGATTTCGTTATGCATTATTAGTTAAGAAATTGTAATTCGCGGTAGCTCTACCACCGCTGTCTTCCAACGGACGGCTGTGTTGTGACGGCGCGGCGTCATAGCAACCTGTTCATTGTCTGAGCGAACCGCCGCCGACGATACCGTCGAGTCCGTTGAACGTCGATGCGGACGAATACGCGAGCCATCAATTTGTGAGAATCCCGTGTGCGAAATGTCGCTATTTAAGACGAAAGAGTGGTGGCGTACCAGAGCGGGAGTGAACGAGTCCTTCGACAGACGTAGCTTGCTGATCGCGCCGTTGTTCGGCCCTGACAAAAAGGACGTCATCGTGATCGGCAGCCACAGCGGCTACCTGAGAATATATTGCCCGTCGTCGCAATGGCTGGACGAGAGCAAGGAGCCGAGCGGCTACAAATCTTCGGACCTCATCATCGAGACACGGATCAGCGAGTGTCTCGTTGATATGAAGACAGGAAAATTCGTCTCGTAAGCGAGACTGCGTATTTCGTTGAAGCTTCTCGACGCATTGCTCTCAAGCATCGAGAACCAATCAAAGTGAAGAAATTTGGACAAGTCGCGAAATTAGTCCGTGAAATTAGGCCGCGAAATTTTTTCCGTCTAAGTATAACCCGATATCTTCGCCTCCGCGACTAAATATCGTACCATGCAACACCTGTTCGTTGTATTTTCATTGGCACACACAGATTGCACCGATCTGTTTCAGAGGCTCGCAGGACACTCGACTCGCGATACTGACACCCGCCAAGCTTGTCGTTTACAGTATCATTTTGAGCCAAGGATCCGTCGATCACGGTTTGTACCACACGCTGTCAAACGTTACAAAATTAATTAAAATATAAACTACGTCCTTGAACAACACTTTCGTCCTTTTCTTTCGATCGATTTCACGAATTTCACCATTTTTGCGAGTCCTGTCAATAATAGAAACGTACGCATTTCAAGCGGGAATATCGTGTCGCACGAAAACACGCAAATGACACTCGACGAAAAACAGAAAACACGACGACGAAATTGAAATATTTCATAAAATCTCAGCGGTTCTTCTGTTCTTTTAATTGGACTACAATGCGCGCCGCATGTTGTCGGGATATTAATTTTAGTGTCATCACACAGTGGCATTAATCGCGTGGCGCGCGAGAGAGAGAGAAAGAATCCTCGAGACGCTCGACGAATAAAACAAGATCGAGCGGTCGTGAGAACTGCGCGCAAAGCCGGTTGGAATTTTCGCGGTGCCTCCGCTTCATCGAGAATAATCCGCTAATTAGGATTTCAAGCCGCTAATTGGATTTTTGGAACCTTGGCTTGACGAACACAAGACACGAATAGACATTACGTATATTACTCTGTTACGTATATACTTTGCGTTTCTAAACTCCCTCGTATTTTTATTGCCATTATCATCGTCATCAATGTAACTATAATCGTTTATCTATCATCTGCTGTTATTACCATTATTATAACTGCTGCTACCACTACCATCACGATCATTATTTTTCTCTCGTCCCGTCGATGCCAGTATAATTACAATTACCGATCATCAGTTTAATACAACTTGTTTGAAAGAGGAACCGGATCGCTCCGTTCTCGCCCAAGACTGCGATCCCGTGAACCCACCTTCCACGCCGATCCTGGTCGCGTAAATAAAACGAGCTGTGCCGTTAACGAGATTTTCGCGGCGTGAGATAGAGACTCGCTGCTGTCTAGTCTGCTCTGCTCTCTACACACACACACACACACACACACACATACACATTCTCTCTCTCTCTCCCTCTTCCTTCGGTGATAAACTTATCACGACAGAATGATTTTCGCGGGATATCGTCCGACGGTGGCCCGATACGATTTCGCACGAGACACAGAAGCATATTCGCTCTTGTTTGCGCGAATTTACCTGAAGCGCTGTGCCTACGGGTAACAGAAACTGGAATTAAAATTGCGGACGGTCGTTCAACAGCAAACGTGGGAGATATTTGCGTGGCGATATTCGCGTCTGTTTATTTCGATCAGGCTCACTCGCGTTGATATCGCGTATCAAAGTGCAGCGCAACGCGTCGCGCTGTCTCGCTCCATCGCAATCGCGGTCGATCAAAAGCTCGAAACACGACGTTGGTGTGATCTCTCTGTCCCGACGCTACCATCGCAATCGTGGTGATTTACGTAAACGCCGCGGCGGACCTTTTTTTCCAATTTTCCACGATTGCGCTCGCGACAACGTTTTCCTCGTCTTGACATTCCCATGTCGTCTCGGGCATCACCGAGTGATGCGAAAGATCAACGAGGAATCTAACCCTAGAACGCCACGTGAGAAACGCGATTACCGATTAAGTACTAACGATTTACGTGGCTCCACGCATAATGCGAGAAGATTACGTAACCGCCGCGTGGAAACAAATAGATCGGCGTGCTGCGACCATTAGAAGCTTACATAAACCTCGCCTATAAAACGTGTTACATGAAAATATCTAATTGTACGTTACACGTATGTGTCTAATGTCTAACGTATCTCTCGAGTCTAATACGAGCGAGAACGCGATACTCGCTTTTGTATGCTCTTCGAATGCGCCTTGGGAGCGCGGCGGGAAAGGCTGCTCGGGAAGATTAAGTTTCTGCTGTGAAACGATAGGGGCTAATTTTCAATCGACGAGTGCCACAATTTCCGTCGTGTTTTAAATGACCTGGTCGATTGTTTTTCTGTATTACACACACAGGCCGTTCCATCGCGCGCCACGATCCGGGATAGAGGGTCGCCTCGAGCTAGTATCTCCTTAAATCTGGCCGATATTTTAGGCACGGAGCAGCAGCAGCAGCAGTAGCAACAACAACAACCGAGCGCGTTACGTAACGAATCGTCAATGCCGTTTTATCTACGCTTCGAGCGCGACTCTGCGAGCGGAGATGTGAAGATGCGAACGCGATTAACCGCTTTGCGAACAGCCCTGCGACTGACTGCGGCCAAAGTCGATATCGTGAACAGCTGCCACCGATTTCCACATCTTGCATTTTTCAGAGATTCTCTCTCTCTCTCTCTCTCTCTCTCTCTCTCTCTCTCTTTCTCGTTCACAATACTCGAGTAATCATGCAATATTAGTTCAATAAAAATTACAATTAGGAGTTGCAAAATTTTGTCCTATGCTTTCGATGCCTTTACTTCTCTTCTCGTATTTTCTTTCCATAGGAATCGCAAACGCGACTTTACCACCCCGTTTTCACCTTTTTTCCTCATAGACCGTCATAACGCCGCGTTGTAGTGTACGTAGCCCGCAAAACACTGATCCGCTCTCGTCCGGACACGATGAATTGCGGCCTGACCTATATACGGACAGGAATCGCGATTGTTCGCCGTCTCGCCGCTTTTCTAACGCCGCCCGAGCGTCGCACATCAATCTCGCATATTTATTTCTTCAATTAACCGCAACGTATACGCATGCACGGACGCTATATAATCGGCCTGATTTAATGTCCAAGTAATCGCCTGTCCGATAAACGTGGAGCAAAGTCTCGATAACGCAATTCCGTTTCAGCAATCGAGGAAATCCGAGAGATGTGCCTGGCCGAGCGAAAAACCAATGTTCCAATCGATTGAACAAAACCACAATAACGCAGAGAAGAGTATACGAAATGTCGAATTAAAGTGTACAATTTTTCGTATTTTTTTCTTCAAGACAGATGTTTGTTAAGGAAAATTATTAAAAAATCGTGCGAATTGATCGAAATATTCATAAACGATACTGACGGTGCAATGCTACACTTGTGGTACATCGTGTACTTGGCTTTTTTGCGTCGCGACTTGCAAAACTTCTCACTCCCACTACTAAATGCACCGTTTGCATAACAATTTGCCGAGGATTTTTGACGGAAGTGGCGACAAGCAACGCTATCGCGCCGTTTCGCGCGCTCGAACAGTCGACGCGAAATTCCGTTTCGATAAATGGCATCAGAAGCGCTTTATCGCCTAAGCCTACAAGGCCACGATTACAAGTGCTAAATATTCTCCAAAAAAAGAAAGTACGATTATTTTTTCATTCCCTCTAACGGATTAAATCGCGAAGAGTAGGGTACTCGGACGATTCCGCAGTAGACCTTTTGTAGACCTTCTCGAGTTTACTTCCAACAATTGCACAATTCCGTTTCGGCTGCCAAATTCAAAGAGAGAAATGAAAGCAAAAAAAAAAAAAATAAAAAAGCCAGCATTTTTTCGTACGTCGCGTTGCGACGAGAGAAACGGGCCGAGCAAGGCTGTTCCGAGCTGAGCTGAGTTCAAGATTGATCACACACAAAATGACACACCGATACTCGAATGTCACATCCTTGCAGGGGACCGCTGCGACTTGGAAGTCGCATACGAGCATCCGCTGTCGCGATTTCCGACATCTTTGACGACAGGCCCGTTTGGCGGCGTGCGGGGTCGGGACTTTCTCTGCGTCCAGTGCCTCGATGGCGCACTCTTCTTCTACGAGCAGGAGACCCCCGCCTTCAGCCTGGTTCTCGGGAATCGACTGCTGCCAGAGCCGATAGTCTACGTTTCGCGGAACGACGTCTTCGTGACGCCGAGCTCCTCGTGGGTCCTTGGGTGCTACAGGCAGGTTTTCTATCGAGTCCCGCTTCCGAGTAACTCTCGTCAATGAACACCTGCCGGTGTAACAGATAACGCGGCCGCGATGTATCGGGTTGCGGCCTCGTCTCTCGAGTTTGCGAGTCGGCAGGACGAACGGAGAGAGACAGTTCGTTCTTTCTGAATGCGCGACAGTAGTATTAAGAGGAGAGCGAAATTACTCACCATTCAGATATCTGAAGGTCAGTCGGGCAGGGGGAGGGTGGTGGACAGAAAAGAAGGGTGTGCATCGTATTCTTACGAGTCGAAAAGGAGCACAGTGATGCTCGGTTAGCGAAGTAATATCGTCACACAAACGTGTATTTCTTCACAGATACAAAAGCATGGCGGAATTCGGCAGCAACAAGGATCGCGCAGAGGGTCCGAAGCATCTGGAGCCGGACTGGAGTTACAATATCGGGGAGGCTGTTCTTGACATCGACGCCGTCACACTGAGCAGCTTCGAGGTCGGGATCGTCGTGCTCGGCGAAAAGAATCTCTACTGTCTCAAGGACAATTGCGTCTCCCTCAAGTACGCGAAAAGGCTTGAGTACAAGGCCCTCTGCTTTCAAGCTTATGTGATAGGTATTATTGATGATAGTATTCAAAATTCGAGGAAAAGAGAAGGAGAGGGGGAGATAAAACGATTGTGAAATCACCTCGTTACCGATATTATTACCGTTATCTTCTTCACTACCCTTCCCTGCCCTTCCCTGCCCTTTCTCTCTCTCTCTCTCTCTCTCTCTCTCTCTCTCTCTCTCTCTCTCTCTCTCTCTCTCCTCGCACACGCGCGACGAGAAAAAATAAAAGTGAGGCGAACCGGCAGAGAATCTCGCTCGTAGACGATCGAGCCGGCGCACGATGCGACACGCCTAATTACTTTTAACTGGTAGGAAATAAGCGTGCTAATTGAGCGGCGATGCTTATAGAACCGGATGGCAAGCTGATGGTGCTCGTAATCGCTGACACAAACACCCTGATGATTTACGAGGGTACGACTCTCAAGTGGTCGGCTCAGCTACCTCTCGCTCCGGTCGCCGTAACTCGAGCGCATTTTCAGGTAACCGATTGCATAATTTCGCAGCGTGTATTCACGAGCCGACGCATTTCACGATGTCACTTTGCGGAAAGTCGTTGCAACGCGTCATCAGAGAATGAATGAGAAAAATATGATTAAAGTTTCACGCGTCGTGCACGCGCGTCTTTTCCGACCACAGTTCATTCCTCCGATATGAAAATCAAACATATAAAAGGCTAGTATAGTGTTTCGTTATCGAGCTTTTTGCGGCGGACGCAAAACCGGCATACCTCTTAAAAAATATCGGCCACGAAGTTAAAGTCCATAGTTTACATTGATAACCCGAGCTAAATCACGCTTCCCGAATTACTCTATAAACTTGCCCCTCACAAGGGCACCCGATGACTATATAGGTGGCGATCTAACGATAGTCGAGATGTATCTCTGCCGAGGAAACCATTAATCTTTAGCTGAGCATTGATGCGACGGGGAAAGTAGGGCCGAGAAAAAAAGAAGGTCGGTCAGAGAATAACGATAGCGGCGAGGAAAAAGAAGAAAAATACGAAAGAAATTCTTCTAGAAGAGAGGCGAGAGAAGGACTGAGCGGAGGATGGGGAGGAAGAGAAAAAGACCTCGGTAGAGTCTATCTATATTTACGATAGTCTGCAATCAGAGCCGATGACATTTGACAAAGAAACGAGCGGGGCCTCCGTCGTATCGGTGTTCCTCTTCCGTGTCGGCTCTATCGACACCACCAGCCGCTGCTTCCCCGACAACAAAACGTCAGGCTCGGATCTATTGCGAGTTTTGCGAACAGAAGCCACCCCGATGTAGCCGCCAAACTTTAAATTTCGTCGAACTCGAATCAAAATTTTAGTCCTGATTTGTGTATTGGACCTGAATTTTTTAAAATCTGTATATTCTGAAGAATATGCGTAATACACATGAAAACTGAAATCTTACTCAGTACTCTGGCGATGGCACAAAAGTTTGTAGACAAAGAACCTTCTTCTCGGCAAAGCCAGTAGATTAAATAGAATTAAAAGAGGTTAGTATAAACTTCAAAATATTAAAATAAACATTAAATAAAATATTGTGGTCGAAAGTAGGATCAAAATTCGTCTCGAGAAGGGCAAAATCCCTTCTGACTTTGATCGCGAGGTATCGATGTAATATAAACATAACGATACCAATGATTAAAGTGGCGTAGCTTACTTTCGATCTAAAGTATTGAGAACTATTAACAATGCTCCTAGGCTCTTAGGTATCTAACGAAACATTACACCACTGATCTGAACGTCAAAACAATTGAACGTCTAAAAAATTAAATGTTCAAGTATTAAATATTGAACGCATTTGAGGAGACACCCAAATCTCTTGGCAGTGAACTTATTGGATAACAGCTCTCGAATCCAACGTCTGAAATGCCAAATACTACTGGGTCTGATATATGACAATTAGAGAATTTTAATTAGCTAATTTTGTTAGAGAATCAATGCGTGTGTTTCCCCAACTCCCGCTATAACTAGATAAACACAATATTCGATTATTGTTCTGGAGTAGATTCTGAGTGAAATTGGAAAGAAACGAAGTAAGAAGGCTCAATAAAGATCCTTCGGTCGTGAAATCAGGGTGTCGTCCTTAGCGCAACGCGACGTAAAGTAATAATTGGACGAATCGTTTAAGAGTGGGACGCCGAGTCATCTCCATGGATCGTACGGTCGTTTGGGTACATTGAAAATCGCGAGACAGCGGGATGAGATAGAGGGGAATCGAAGAAGAAGGGAAAAAAGAAGAGAAAAGGGAAAGATAAAGACGAAGGTGAGAGGAACACACGCGACGATGACGATCGTTCCGAGGAGTGCTCAAGGCTCGAGCATCGGCATCGCCAATGAAAGGCGTACGATCCCGACCTACCGGGAAAGGAAAAAACCGCAAGAGTGCAGGGAAGGACGAGGAGCCGGCAATTATCACCCTGGTTTTATCTTATCGCCCTGCCACAGCGCGCGCGGCTAGCAAGGTTGCCATTGTTGTCTTTCCGGAGGACACAGAACGCGAACGCGCAAACTGCTGGCTAATTAGCTTAATACCGAGAACTCCGCTCCGTTAATCAGCGAGCTATCGCTGCGGCAGCGCGAAACTCGTTATTCCCTGTAATATACACGCCACGGTGGTAAGCGGGGGGAAAGCTTAGAGAAACCGCCTAAATCGGGCCGGACGCTAGACTGTAAAAATAGCAACTGACACGATTATTTTTTATCTTATCCCGAGGGTACTGAGCAGGAGTAGAAAGATACGTGAGAAACAGCGTTCTCCGATACAAACGCGAGTTCAAGATATATCCGTGAAAATGGACGCGGCAAATTTTCAGCCGGGCGTTAAAAAAAGAAATGTTTTTTTTAGCTGCAAGGTAAAAGTACCAATATGCCTGAACACTAATAACAATGACTATCTAACTCTGAACTTTCTTGTTGTTTTGATCTTTAAATAAACGGTCATATTTTGTCTCTTCTCCTTTTCTCATTTACTGTTGAATCGTTCTTGCAAGCGTGTCGTTAATTCAGTCCTCGTGGATCGCTCTTGCATATCCGCGCGAGATGATAACTATGATATACAGGCTATTTTTCTAGTCTCTCACACGATTCTTTTCTTCTCTCGAATGATTCTGGGTTTGATTTTTCCTTTTGGCGCGACTGTTTTATCTAGCGTTTATTTATAACTTTGATCACTTTTTCAGCACTTAAACGGCGTGATAGTCGTACTGTCCGAGGAGGGCCAACTGGAAGCCTGCTACTTGGGCTCCGAGCCGTCGTTATTTATCGCGCCTCCTCTTCATCGACGCGGTTACGATTACGTGGCCGCTGAAGATGAGCTCATGGAGCTCCGCAAGTTGGCGAAGAGAAGCAAGGCTTCCGGTATGAATAAATAAACCGCGAATTAATACGCAGCACCCGTAGCAGTCATTAGCGTGATACACATACACACATGTATGTGGAACGATCTATAATTAAACTCCTCTCCCGAGAAAAACCGCGCACGGCACCGCAAACCACTGCACCAACTTTCATTAACGATAAATAAAATTTGTACTCGAACGTTAATCATCTTGTAATCGGAATTACGCAAGGCAATCAGCTGAGCGACATCAACTTGGACGCCGAGCTGATCGTGTCCGTGACAGTATCGCCGGACTTGGAGCCATATCCGAAACAAAACGACGCTAAGGACGAGTCGACGGAGGGTCGTAACTTCGTGTGCAGGATCGGCATAGAATTATCGTCGTATACGACACTTCGCGACGTTCAAGTGTGCATCGAAGTCTCGAGACCGTTCGTCGTCGAGAAGGATTGCTACATTATTCCCAATCTTTGTAAGCAAACGTAATCGATTATTATTAAAATCGTCGCCCATCTGAATCGTGCTAATCGGAGATATCGCTTCTCTTTCCAAAACGATAAAGGGCGAAATTATCATGCGATAACTGATGAGATATCTAGCCTTTTCTGACGATACAATTGGTTGATTAAGGCCTGTATTAACAGTAGTCACCTGTTGTCAACTTGTCTCATTCGAGATCTCGAATTCGAGATCTCGAATTTTTATTAGATCCAAGCTATTCAATTCAATTATAATATATATGTGACATTTGTAGCTGTGGTCGCGCAATTCAATTGAAAAACTCTCATCTAACTCCGAATTGAAATCTGAATATTTGGGATTTGAGAAAAATTTCAAACAATAACTATCAATACGGGCTTAAGTGTTGCTACACTTAATCGGCCGACTGTATTTAACAGACTGTAGAAAACAGTTGCGGTCGATGCGCGTTCAATTAACCGCGCGAATGCAAAGGTAACCGGCAAATGCTGCACACGACGATCCACGCGAACGCGGACCTGCCGTCGATGTCGTCGGACGTGAGAATCACGGCGAGCTACGAGACGGATCGTGGGAGCCTGCGCGTACTTCAGAAAACGGCCCAACTGCCCCTGAAGATGATGCTGAGGGCCTGCCCACCCGAGAACACGTCCACCTTCACGGCAACCATCAAGTGCAGCGAGCCCCTCGTCTCTTTTAGCCAGCTGTTTCCCGGTAAATCCATCGGCACCGTCGTTTATAATACCCCACCTCCTCCCTCTGCCCCCCGCGCGATCAGGGCTGCAACGCGCGATAAAGATATCGAATCTTTCTTCGACGAGTCGTTTTCTCTCCGCGCCAGTCGCGGTAAAATCTCGATACAAGCAGAGGCCACTTTTAGCTCTAAGCTCGTTTCACTTTGGTATATAAAAAGTAATAGATTGTGACACATACACACGCGCGCGTATAATCATCGTATTGAAATAAAAAAGAGAACTTGTTTTATTCGTAAAGTACGATTGCGATCGCGCGGTTCGTGAAAAGTATCGATGGATTGTCACGCTCGACCGGATACAAGTTCAACAGATAGCCTGAAAACGAAATTCGATTGACGAAATTCGAGTTGCCGTAGAAATGTCGCGAAGGATTGATTCTTGTCCTCGCTATGCGACTTTGCGATCCCGCCCTGTGAACCCACCGTCCGCCGTCGTAAAGGATTCCCTAAAAAGTCTTTTTTACTCTGGCCGCTTCATATTCCGCCCGCTGTTCCCCGTAGGAAATTACGGCCCAGGAAATTGTGGATAGAATTAGGATGTCTCGTTTGCGAACGGCGATATTAAGGAATCCAGTCGCTCTCTCTCTCTCTCTCTCTCTCTCTCTCTTTCTCTCTCGTTCGGGATTTAAACGCGGCCCTCTCCCGGCCCACCTAATACGATAATCAGACACCGGGGCCCCGGGACTCACCCGGACCTCTCCAATCACGAAGGCCTTTTCCTTCCTTTTATCGGCCTTTCGACTTTAAGCCTCGCACACACCTGGTGGATTCGTAATTTAGAGCCGGTAAAACTCTCGTTAAGTGAATCCCTCTTCCCTCCCGCGAGCCCCGACCGCCCGAGGATCCAAAAATATCAATCATAAAAATATCAACGCGCCTTTCGAATTCTACGTTAAACGCGAGAGACGTCCTACAAGTTGCGTACAACCTCGCCGTTTCTTTTCTTGACAGAAATTAATTTCTTTCGAAATACAGTGAATATATGCTTTCCGTAATTTTTAATATGCAACGTCAAGTACCGCGGGACTTTGCGGAAATTTGAAATCTTTTTTTCTTCGGGATTTGCGAAAAATTGTTTATGTACAATCGTTGTTTCTTGACAGAGCTTACAGGGGAGATACAACGGCAAAATTGGAACGTGCTCGGCTTGCAACACGTGCAAACCGGCAGCGTGGTGACAATCGTTTCCGGCGCTACTAGCAATCGGTACCGAGTGCAGTCGAACGACGGGCTCGCGATGGCCTTGGTGGTTCAGCAGCTGCTGAATAGGCTCAAAGACAAGGCCACAGGGAACTTTACGACCACTATCGCGCATAATCACGTACAGTTGGTTCAATCGCAAATGGAGGCGCACTTTCGCAGTCGCCAGGAAGCCGACAGAATCGCGGTAATCGTCTCATCGTATCTCATGTCTCGAAAAAAATAATAATAGCCAAGAGTTTCGAAAATTTTCTCTCTCAAGAGCAAACACTCACGCGATAGACCTAAGACTCCCGTGTCCTCACCACGGTGATCTTGATTAATGACGTCAGAAGTAAGGAAACTTTCTTCATGATTTTATCGCGTTAATTTCACGATTGTTTCTTAGAGTAGAAGGTAAGTTCTCGGAATATTTTACAACTGCGCTCGACCGATCACAAGCATATTATGGACACAACCGTTAACTTGGACGTATTCCGCGAGAACTTTACGTTTTCTCGTGTCTGACGTCATCAATCAAGAGTCTCGCGACAATCAAGAGATTAGAAGCCTTAGGATCAGTTGTTCTCACAACCACAACTACGACGTCGTTATCGTCGTCGCCATCGATTAACGCATCGCTACCACAATTAATTTAGAAATATCTCTCCACAATTGTGCAAAACAGACTTGGTTCGTTCATACGGTTGTGGGTATACAACCGGGAAAATGTTGTCGTACACATGTGTAACGCTGGTAGCAAACGTGTTAATTACCCGCGGACTTCATCTCTCCACCTTAACGTGCATTTTTTTTGTTCGGGAGCACAGAGCGAGATCGGGTTGCTGTCGACCCAGTTGAGAAACATCGAGAGGAAGTTGCTGCGCGCCGTGAGGGAGAGGAACACCCGGTCTTTGGCCGCGACCGGCCTCCCGTTCCTCTTGGAGTCGACCTATCGCGCGATCTTCGCGCTTCTGGACGATCTCGCGATCGCACGAGCGGTAATTGACCGACATCCCGTCGCCCTGGCCAGTTTCACATCACCGCACGGCAAACTTGCTCGCATCGAGATCGATCTTAGCCCTTAACCATCAAAACCCAAACGACCAAAACGGCGAAGAACGGCGAAGCACGCGATCCCAAAGCATTGTCGCAAAGAGATGTTGAGAAGACTCGAAGCGATACTTGCATTTTTACCAATGGCGCGATATCGGAAGCGAAAACGACGCGTACTATCCTCTCAATTGAAATCATCTTTCCCAATCTCAATCTCCTCAGGTGGGAACTTTTGCTAACACGATGGGCCAAACGATCAAACATTCTTACAATTTTGCGATTCTTTCGCGGGACAAAGATCGCGCGAACGCCCCGCGCTTGGAATTTCTCTGTCTCCGATAATGCCCCGCGAAGTCGCATACGGCAATTGCCCGTTACAGTTGCCCTCGCCGATGCTGGCAGCGGCGAGAGAGCGAGCGAGAGGCCGTAATCTCGACCGTACAACACGCGAGAGGCACTCTCGCGATCGCGGCCGATACGGTACGCCACGCTTTATCGCACGCCGATCTGGAAGCGGAGATGGCAATCGCGGCTGTTTCGCGAAACGTATCAACGTTGCATGCGATCGTTACCCGATCCGCCCTCGTCGTCGCGCTCGAGTGGCTTATTATTTGCGAGATTTATGGCGCACCAGGGAAGGGAATTCGATGCGAGTGCCGATTCGCGATACATGAGCCGCACAGATAGATAATGAGGGGAAAGACAACGGATCGTTGGCAACGCCGTCCTCGCGGCCCGGCATCGCGCATGAACAAAAGAAGAGATTGGCAAAGGGGAAGCAATCAATCGAAATTTTGCAAAATTGCGCCATCGAAGTATCAACTGTATTGAAGTGACAATTGCATCGAGACAAATCCCGCGGAACAAAAGCACGTTTGCCGTTTTGGTGATCGTTAGGGATACAGATGTTACCGCTGCAAATCACATTTCTCATTATTTTAACAAACATACATTGCCGGAGATCTGGCTCTCGTTTAATTCAGGCTCGGTGCCTCTGTGTGTGTGTGTGTGTGTGTGTGTGTGTGTGTGTGTGTGTGTGTGTTACAAAAGTGCTGCTTAGGACGAAAATAACAAATCATTTATTGCCACTGCATTTGCTGTCACACATATCGTTCGATGCAGATATTCGATGTTAAATTAGCAAAACTTTTTCTCTCAGAGAGTGCGGCGTACCGAAGAAAGTAGGTGCGTGCGGGAGCGATCGGGAAATTGTATGTCAAAGTGAATGGGAGTGAGTCAGCGAGCGGGTTTTTCTAGTTTTCGTATAGTTTCGTTCGCGAACCTCTCTCAGAGAGATTACTCACACGAGTGATTCAGCCAGCTATCGATGAAATCGGTATATCGGTATATATAATCGCAATGGCGCAAGGTCGGCGGTAAAAGAAGCAAACGTAAAATACGGTTAATAGACGCGACTTGTCCGCGCTATCCGGACTCGATGGTCCACGGAATGATACCGGTCGTTTGATCGACATGTCCCCAGAAACCGGCGCCGCGGTCCGTCGCGGTGACGTAACACTGCCGTGTGTGATAATTGGGCGGCTGTTGCAGGAACGCGAACGCACCGGCCACGGCCTGCAGTGCGCCGTGAGGTTACTGCTCCTGCTGCTGCGCCTCAATGTAAACGACGATAAGTACGCGATGCTCGAAGCGGCGATCGGATTCGAGCCGCAGCTGCGCGACGAGCTCGTAAGTACCATCGCGAAACGACGCGATGCTACGCACACAGTCTCTCTCTCTCTCCGCTCGGGACAGACAATTCGATTATCCGCGCGTACCGAGAAGAAAAAGACTGCTACAATGTCAGTGATAATAACCTTACCGCTACCACCATCCTCTTGTTAGAACAGCCAAAGACAATTATAATTTTAGTCAAGTCAACCATCTTTTTCTTTCAATTAGCGAGAACTTGTTCCATACTTCTTGTATTCGACAGAACATCTTTTTTGAGGAAAATTTCACTGAAAATCCACGCGTAACGTCGACTTTCCGTCAAACTTTCCTCGGAAAGAACGTTTCAAAATGCAATTATTCGCTCTTTCTTCGTGTTTTCCTACGTTTCATTTATCTACTATCAACGCGTCTATCACGAATCTATCGATTTCTGATCATCTCGCGGACTGATTGTTATTACGATCGACCTAGGTCGACTGATCGATTTCCCTTTTCTAGGACTGGGAGGAAATCGCCGATGCCGGCCTGTGCACCTTGCTTCGGTCTACGTCACGAAAATCCGGCCACCTGGAAGCGACAAAACCCACGGCATTGAGCAAAATGACGTCTGTCAAGGAATTTGCGAAGCTGAAGAAACGTCTGGTGCACGCAGTCGAACGTCTCGACAGCTGTCGGGAAGTCACCGATCTAGCTGAGAACGAACAACTGGAAGCTGGTGAACGTGCCACCTCTTAAACATCTCATCTCATCCAATTTCTATTTCTTGCGAATTCACAAATGTGTCTCTCAGACTCATTAAATAAAATCGGACTTTCTCGAAGAGAAAGAAGAGCGATTCACCAAACCGATTTTCTTGTCTTGCAATCTTTCTGAAATCCAACAACTCAATTGAAATGACTCTATCGTTCTCGACAAGATCCTCGGGATTTATCTGCGCAGATCGATCGGGCGTACCTTACCTCGACTTATTCGCTATTGCGTATGTACCGATACGACTACGCAGGTGCAACACACGCAACGCGTGTGTCGGACAGACGCACGCGCGCGTTTACGTAAGTGCATCTATATAGACCCGGCGCTGCGATCATTTTATTCCACGGCCTGCGGCATATCGAAATAGGCAAAGTCGACGACGGAACGTGTGGTTTGAGTGATTCACGCTGGCGCCACGATTCCGCTTTTTCGAGGCTAATTAATGGGAAGAATGTACGGGGACGAGAGGTATGTGTTTAAGTCTCGCGGGACCAATAACAGTACACGCTTTGTTCGATAATTTTCCAGCGAGAGCGTACGAGACGTAATGTATGCAAAGTGCAGAATGGAAAGGATCGTAGGAACTTTTTCAGATCCCGCCGCTTGAGCGCGCTGTACTCGCAACAAAGAGACACCCGAGACGTTACCGAACATTCACGATGTTGTTATAACCTGAATCGAAATTTTGATCCTACTCTTTCGACCTTAATATTCCATTTAATGCTTTGAAACTCTGAAGCCAATATCAACTTTGTTTAACCCACTAACTTTGCCTCTTGAGAATTTATAAGTGGCGTGCGTTTACTGCCACGTACAGATGTTGGAAAGTAGGACTAAAATTTCGACTCGAAAAGCCAAAACGGATTATGCATTTCATACAGAATGCCTATATAGCGGATTATATGTCACTTTTGATTAAAATTTATGCCGATTTGCTCATTACAATACGCCTGAAACAATTAATATCACTCGAAAATATTTCTCTGTCGTCGATCAACGGATCAAGCACTGATCATTTTCGATCGAAAAGTTCAGCACTTTCCGCGTGCCCTTTCGATATCTCTCTTCCCTCACACATTACACACGCAACCGACGCAAACGTAGACTCGAGACGTGAGAGGACCGGGGACCCTTGGTGCGTTCTACTCCGGTTCTACACACGGCTTCCCACGAAAGTCGCCCCTCCGCGCGAGCGTGAAGAAACAAATAGTCACGAGCCCCGGAGTAACCATTGCCGAAGTGCTCGGCAAATATTTAGACGGCAGCACTTTTCCGTTGCGACCGCTGGCGATGTAACAGATTGAAATATTTGCGACCGCAGCTTTGCGGTCCGGATAAACGCCGCGGTAACATCGCCGGATAACCGCGAACGAGCGGCGCGTAAACAATGCAGCCGACAATGTTGCAACGACGCGAGCCCTTACGGGCGCGATACTTAATTGTATTGACACAAGTTCGAAGGCACGCATGAATTGCAAATTCACCATTTTAGCACGGGCAGATTTGCGAGCTACGATGTTCTCGTGTTGTTCTCGTTGTGTTATTCTCGACAAGAGAAAGAGGATGCGTTGAATTGAATTTCCATAGGCACACGAAATATGTGTATGTGTGCGCTGTTATCCTCTTGTATCCGAGTGCGGCAAGCACTGCTGTGTGATTTTTCATTAAACAGCAGGTTAATGATCGAATCGTAATGATAATGATTCGATGATTAGGAAAAAAACAATTGCAAGTCGCTCATTAAGATACACGTCGTAGCACGTCGTTCAGATTTGCTAACTGCGAAGTTAGCGAACACGCGCCATTGCAGCTCTAACGATCTCCAGGCGCCAATACAGACATCATCTTCCCGCCTACGTTGGAAAATTCGTAGGAAACAACCGTACTACGTCGAGTGTGGTTTCGCTCGTAGCGCCAATTATCTCGCGCAGCAACGCGAGAAGATAGATGAAGAGAAGACCGCCGCTCAATAGAACATTTCCTAACGTCGGGCGAATCGATCGATCAATCGATCGCCCGAGGCGCGTTGAGAGCCCGGCAAAAAAAAAAATGCGACAAATCGATAAATGCGCGGGATAAATCGGCGACACCTCCGGAGCTGTGGAAGGAAAATTACGGCTCGCCATTATATCGCTTCATCGCTTTTCGCCGGAGGAAATTAAGAGGAGGTGAAAAAAAAGGAAATGGAAGAAGAAAGATGGGCGGTTCTCTCTCTCTCTCTCTCTCTCTCTCTCTCTCTCTCTCTCTCTCGTATATCTCGCCACTACCGTCGCCGCCACCATCAGGAAAAGGAAGGGGAGTTCATCGAAGAGGTCAGGATCCGATGCATTATTGCCAGTTTTCCAGGCGCGACAGCATAAACGATGAGTTCCGTCCATTATTATTTATTTATGTCCAACGGGACACAGGAAGTCGATATTCTCGTGGGTACGGATACGGCGCGAGAGATCGCGATCAATATTTCAGGTGGAAGATTCATCGCGGCAACAATCGGTTCGTTTCGCACGCGGAATGTTAATTTTCCGCTACATTCTTCGCAAATCTTTGTTTAGACATTCCTCCATTAATTCGAAGAGAATTTGTTTCTTCCTAGTCAAAGTCAATGAAACGCTTTTGCTTTTTGCAACTGTTTACTTTTCGGCGTTAAATTTGTCATTAATTAAAAAAAAAGACAGAATCGCGTAAAGTTTTAATAGTTGAGCAAATAACAAAATATAGGGAGAGAGATGAAATTCCAAACTATTGAAAAAATGCGGCAAAAAAGCCACTTCGTAAAAGCTGTTATTTCAAAAAACTGACTCAAGGGAACTGTTATCGCGGAAACGGATCTCTCTCGACGACATAACCACACTTTTCTCATTATGTGCGCGAGTATCCCGAGCTAAATAGGAAGGCGAGTCGAGCTACCTGTTTGTTCTATTATCATCCATGGAAAAAGATAAGCAGGTAAAACTTGCCGCTTGAGTCACTTACCCGGCAGCTTTGTGTAAACCCGACGTGGAAGGCTCACGAACGCCGGTGGACGCGGAAAAGAAACTCACGGGCAAGTTAGAGAGGCCATCAGAGAGACGGGATGAGGGCTCGAGGAGCCTACTCAAAGGGAAGAATCGAAGAAGAGCAGGTAACGAAGGAGGGAAGGAGGACGGAAGAGTTGTTTTTCGCGCGTCGCTTCGACGCGACGAGATGTGATTTTTCCTCTCGCCATTCAAGAAGCCATAACTTCTCGGAAGAGAACCCATTTCCGCAGTGATATTTTCCGAGCGAAAACACGAGAACTCCCTCGTAGCAAAATCATCGTCAATTAAACCCCCTAAATCCTCGACGCATGATGCGCGATCCAGCGGCCAGACTCGACGCACTTTGCGAGATAAGTGGTCGCAATTTCGGAACGCCTCGTAAATAAACAATTTTTGCTGACGCGCGGCAAAAAAGAGACGGAATCTCACGGCGACGACGTCTTCGCCTATCCGAGGCCCTTCGAACGCCATTAAATTCCGAACGAGAAGCGAACAGACGCGCTCGCTCGCTCGCTCGCTCGCTCGAGGCCCTTCGTCTTCGCCTCCCGGTCGCTCCGCTGGATTACGTGGAAACTCGCCTGCGGCTTCGCGATCGACCTTCCCGGAAGAAGCCGGCGATCTCCGACAGGAGACGGCTTCCTGCGATCCACCGCGCGGCATGAGAACGCGCGGCCCCAAGGAGCCGCCGCGTGATTATGGATAGGATTCTTTTATGCCCCGGCATGCGTCCGCAATATGCGCCGGCCGATCCAGATGGGTGGCTTTTTAAATGCGCCCGCTCGTGCAGCTATGTACGTGCGTGCGTGCGGCGTGCGTGCGTGTGCGAATGCACGCAGAAAAACTGGTTCCGAATGAAGATGCATATTGTATGGGGCGCATAGGCAGAATCGAATACACGCGGCCGTTCGTGTACCGTCTATATCGGAAAGTTAATCGGTCCACCGGGCCACTGAGGAAAAAAGGCCGCTGATCTGAGGTACTTAGAGGCCCCAGGGTCGAATCGACTTGCAGGCCCCGTACATAATGTGTATGCTCTTTCTCTCTCTCCCTCTATCGAAACTCTTTGCGGGATAAAGGGTAGGACCGTTAATTATTTCCTTTTGGTCTCCGCCTCGCGTAGAGGCAATGTTACGGATTACAGAACGAGATTAGTCTCTCTGGGACGATTTTTCCTTCCGTTTATCTTTACTCTCATGCTCGTTCAGAGCCATGCAATTGGTCGTAAAACACGCGTTAAGTAATTTTAACTGCCTCGTAACGTGCCTTCTTCCCCGAGAATTTTTCTCGAAGGGGCACGCTAATCTGCCAAACTGATCTTTCAGTGTCTTTAGAGATAAGATGTGGATATCCGAGTCGGAAAGAGGCGTATTTCTCGTGGAGCTGAGCATTAATCCGTTCAGAGAAGAATAGACAGAACTTTTCCAAGGGACGACGCGAAAAATGCCGATCAAACATCGGAACAACAGACGCGGCGCGCAAAGATGGATCGTGTATAAACTCGATCGTGTTCGTGCTGGAAACACCGTATAAATTAACGACCGTTCTGTGCGAATTAAGCTTCACGAATTAGCTCGTTATGAAAGACATAACGAGTGCGCAGCGCCCAATTATGCGCGACGATCGTGCAGCGAGGTGACATACGCGCGTCACGTCGCAGATACGCGTCCAAATTAATTGGGTGTGAAATTCCCGACAACAGGGATCTCTCTCGTCTCGCTTTAGATCGAGCCAGCGTGGCTCGCACAGGACGCGCACGCCGTTACCGGAAACGGATTTAAGATTGCACGGGCCGTGCAAGCCGCAAACGCTCTTCCTCCTCGCAATCGAGATCGTATCGTCCGACAAATGGCTATTACGCAAACGAGAGGTCGGCCGATAAAACGGTCGGAGAAAGCCGACGTTGACGAGCTGACTTCAATTTCGGAGCGTCTGTTCGCGCTATCGCGAATGCGTGACGTATACCGTCTCTCACAATTTAATCGCGCCGAGGAAGAGATGTTTGGTATTTAATATATAACCACATAGAGAAACAACTACTATAAATAATGGTGAAGAAAAGCATTTCTTACGAAATTTTA